CAGATTCCACATTGAAACCTGTGAAGATTTAACCACGTTTATCATAATGGATGTTCAGAAGAATGATGAGGGCCTTTACACGCTCAATTTGGAAAATGACTTTGGCATCGACTCTGCCACTGTGAACATTAACATTCGATCAATGTAGAAAGTACCATTATTTTCTTTGCACTTGACTTCTGCCAAGTGACTCATGCGGACTGAAATAACCGATTTGTAAATATATAGTTTTTAAAATAGTATTTTTATACCTTCCTGAACGAGAACAAGGTCCTAGAAATTACACTATGATTTATAGTCATCATTATGTGACTTTAAAAATGTTTTTTTTTCCCCATTTGACATGTACATACTGTATATAGCCGACGATAACGGTTATGGAGTTTTGTACCATTTATTTTATGACCTTTGAAAATGTAACTTTTGGAACCGTTGGTAGGAGAAAGTTCCTGACGGGACGAATACCCTGCTCAACATTGAACTAATATTGGTGCCTCAACAAAAGTTGATGTCTAAGATTGCCTCAACAGGTAGAGAGGCTCCCTGTTGAAGACTCCTTTCCTGACACCTAAGAGATGATGCTGTGCACGTTTCGTTACGTGCATGAATTTATTTGCAATCAGAAACATAAGCCATTGGTGAGGTTTGCATTTACCCTCCTGTAAGCCCCACTCTAATAGCTTATGTTGAGTCTGATCAAAGTCAAAACTTTCTTTTGCTCATGACTGATTTACCATAGATGGAACAAAATGTCAGCGGCCAGCATTTTGTTCATCGCCTCTCTATGCATTGTTTCTGGCACAATGACTGCCTGAACAGCTTTACAAAAAAAGTAACATCACCTGGCTATCCCGTTATTGAACAAAGCTGTTTAGGAACTCATGGCCAGAAGCAGTGCCAACTCTTGGGGGTTCCATGGATGCAGTGATTATGTAATAGTGTTAGTATTTAGGTAGATAATGTCAAGTCGGGGCAACTAAGTTTTGAACCACAGTTTAAAGAAAATGTAAACTGTTGCTATAACATCACATTTTGCCCTGCACATAAATTTAGTTTAGTTTCATAAGTAGTAAACTATTAGTGAGCTCTTAGCTATTTTACTGAACCTCCTTGAGATATTTAAATAAAGCATGCCACCTGCACATTACCACCTCTGTATCCTAGTCTTTTTTTCTTCCTCTTTCTTCTACTTGCATTCCTACTTTCAGCCTCTGCTTGGGGATGGGTGGGTAATCCATGATCCAGAAACTACAAATGGTCCTTCAGTTCCTTAACATTGAGAAATTCGACTACAGGATTTTGGATTGTTGTCAGACCACAGAGTTTCTCCCAGTTAAATATTTACTCTTACACCTACACAAAATGAACTCTTTAAAGTCTACATATTTTATTCCTAGTGCACAGTAAGCATCCCCGATTCATAAAAGGAGAAATTAAATAAAATGCAATGGCATGGAAGCAAAAAGTGGGAAAGTGAGAAAAGGGAATTTTGTTCATCACACCGTTGTTAAATATGGGGGAATCCTGCCTTGCATTTTTCACCAGGCAAGGAAGCAGCGGGAGAGTTGGTCTTTTTTTTTCTTTACATGTACTGTTTGTTTTTGTTCAAAAATGGAAATGTCGCATGTGGTTTACCACCAAAATCTGGGGATGATATTTTTTCCAAATAGAGCAGGGGGGTCAAACTCATGTCATCATGTTGTTATCACGAGATGTAACACGACTTTTTTCCCCATTGCTAAATCGGAAGGGCGTGGCCAGCATGTAACGCATCCAGGTTGCGGGCCACGAGTTTGACACCCCTGAAATAGAGAAAGGCAACTCTGTTACAGAGAAGGCCTGATGAGTTCATTACCATTCCTACTCATCAAAGTTGAACTTTAAATAAATGCTCAGTCTTAAGAATGGAAAAATTTAAGACAACAGCAGAACCAAAGGGGGGAAAAAATAACACAGCTACACCTTTTGGAAACAAAAACGAGTGCAGGCATTTGACCTTATCATCTCCATTCTTCCATTCTCTGACGGAGAGGATCAGCAGTCTCTAGAGTAGTGCAAACAAGATCCAGTGCAGCATGGTGTTAAGTGCAAAAACAATTATAAATCTGCCCATGTTTCCGTGTGCAGCTGCTGAACCGTTTTTGATGCCAATTTGTTCAAGTATTTCAGCAATTATTGTAAAATAAAATAGAGGCAAGAGGGATGCTGGACGGGGGAAATTGATTCAGAGTAACAGTTTAGAAAAACCATCAAAGCGTTTTGTCAGCTTTGATGCCAAAGGCTTTAGGCCTTGTCAACTATCATCCCACCACAGTGATTACCAATTTGACAATGATGCCATCCTATAGAGCACAGGCAGACCATCTTGTTTGGTTGAAAGCCTTAGCTGATTTTTGACTGACAGGTTGAGCAGCACACTGTGGCTATAATCAGGCCAAACTGAAGAACTTGATTTAATTTAAACCATCCATAGGAGGCAGAAACATGCATTCTTCCTCAGAAAAAAACTACACAGGACAGATCTGGTTAGTCCCTGGATGGAGGATCATAAAGAAATATGACTCTGGACAGCATTAAAAAGTCCAAAGAAAAAGAAAAGCTGCCAGAAGAACACAATGGCCATCCATATTCTGGACTATTCATGGGCTCCTTAACTGGCCAACGACAGAAGATAGGGAAATTTTATGTATTTTTTGTTAAGTACTGCTCCCATCCATATAATAACTTTCCTATTCTATAACTATCTTAATCTTGCAAGTGTCAGCAAGTCCATAGTTTATGGTTGTTTATTTACAGTGAAAACTGAAATACTATATAAAACATCAAACAATAACATTGTTAAGAGAGAATAAGTGCCTTCTGTTATGAGATGGTGAACAAGAGCTTAATTCCATTGAAAGTTTTAGAAGTTTTCTTACAGCAAATGTGATTTTTGAGTTTTTGAAGGATTTATTGGGTAATAAAAAAGTATATTCACTTCCATGGCATCGTCAGAATAATAGAATATGAGAGCAAGTGATATATTCTAGTTCTAGACTTATAGAAGATAGGAATATCCTTGCTATTGTAATGTCAGCCTTTGGAACAGGCCTATATAGCTCTACAAGTTTATACATTACAATAATTGCTCTGTTCCCTCAGAGTCATTCTGTAGTTTGCAGAAGGAACAGCATCACTTAATGGAGTGCAATTGTTATAACACACACACACACACACACACACACACACACGGCAAATTATTGGCATTACTCAGTTCTTGAATTGTGGAGGGATAATAATAGCAAATCAAATAAAACAAAGTGAACCTTTATCAATACTCTCACATCACGATGACGTTAGAAGACAATAGATTATGGCATGCAGAGTTCTGAGGGGTTTATCACTCCGTTGGTGATTGGCAAATGAGTGGCTGACATTACAAGATCAATAAATCATTTTTCTGATGGCATGACTCAAAGCACTAATACGCACCATACAATCCGCAGAGACGCAGTCCAAAGAACTATGGAGGTTGGAGCACAGACGCCTTTGACTGTGCTGTTTTGTAAAAGGAAGGAAGTGGCACCAAAACACACAAAAAAATCTGATATCTGTCATTAAAATGTTGCCACAGCAATGTGATACTAGCACGTATTCTTGTTCAGGGTGTCATTCGTGTTTCTGCCACGCTGCAACCTCTTACAGCTAGAGAGTCTGCATATTTGCATTAGAGAGAGGTTTTCTTTTGTAGTTGGAGGTGAGGGTGGTAAAAGCATGAGCATTTAAAAGAACACAAGAAAAAAGCCTTTATCATTCTCTAACCTTCAATCAATCAAAATAGAGCTGGAAGGGACCTTGGAGGTCTTCTATTCCAACCCCTTGCTCAAGCAGGAGACCCTATACAATTTCAGATAGGTTGCTGTCCAGCCTTTTCTTAAAAACCTCCAATGAGGGCGCACTCACGATTTCTGAAGGCAAGGTGTTCCACTTAATAGTCCTCACTCTTAGGAGGTTTCTCCTTAATTCCAGGTTGCTTCTCTCTGCGATTAGTCTCCATCCATTGTTTCTTGTCTTGCCTTCTGGTGCTTTGGAAAATAAATTGAATCCCCTCTCCTTTATGGCAGCTCCTCAAATACTGGACTACTGCTATCATGTCACCCCCTAGTCCTTCTTTCCGCCAATTAGCCAGACCCAATTCCTGCAATTCCCCTGAATGATTCTACATTTGTGCTCCACTTCTGTTGCTCAGTACATCTCTGGGATTATTTAGGGGGGAAATTCTTGGTTTTCTATGGTTTGGGGAAAAAAAGAGGGGTGGGGAGTATCATGTTTGTGTTAGTATTAGTACCTCAGAATGGAGTAATTATTTTAAAACTAGCTCAAAATCTCCTGACGCTTACAGGAGACCTTGCATCCTTCAAGCTCACAGTTGAAACTTACTTTGGTGGGCGTCATTTCTGACAAATCCCCATCCCAGTTGCTGATGTGGTGAGGATTGTGTGCTCCTGTCACTAAATGTCCATTTTGTCCACAATCTTAACATCCTCTATGACTTCCTAGTGCATGAAAATACCCAAAGGCTTACAACAATGAGCCTTGCAATAAGGGCATTTTGGTCTCTCAAGCATGTGCTTTGGATTTCTTGAGTCCAGACCCCGAGGGGTTTAATCATAGAAGCACCAGTGATTTGTATCTCAACTCAACATTGACAAGTTCTCTTCGGGTGCTCTTGCCATCAGTCCCCTGCCCCCAGTGTAGCTTTTAGGTGCCCTGGCTAGGGATGGGAGTTGTACCTGCTGTTTTGAGTGTAGACTTGGAGAGCTAGCAAATTGCAGTCAAAGTCATACCCACAGTGCTCCTCAATCCACCTGGGCGAGGTGTCCATTAGCTATGCTGCCTGGAGCACCATATAAACATCAATCGAATGCATCTAAGGAGCACCAAGTTGCGAAAAGCTGCTTGGATCCTTGCAATCTAATGATAGTTGGTCAAAATTTATGCAATTATAAAGAAAGAAAGAATGCTTGTGTAAAAATTGCATTTATTGAACACTTACATCACTTTTTTTTTTTTAAAAAAAAGCCATTTTTATTTCTTTTTAAAGTGCTCCACGGTCAATACGTTATTAACTAAATCTATTCCAAAGTGAATAAAAAACAAAAATACACATTTCAAAACACTTAACAACTTTGGACACAACCCCTCAGACATGTCTGTGCAAACACTGCTGAACTTCAAGTCCCATATTTCCTCTTTGCTCTGGCATAAACAGAGTGGCATCGCCAGAGCTTTCTCGGGCCCATGATGTACCATAGATCAGGGGGCTCCAACCTTTGCAACTTTAAGACTTGTGGACTTCACCTCAGAGTCAACTGTCAGCCTTATGAGGTAAACCAGGGAGTCTCCAAGCTCGACAACTATAAGACTTGTGGACTTCACCTCAGTTGGCTAAGGAATTCCAGGAATTGAAGTTCACAAATCTTAAAGTTGACAAAATTAGGAACCCCTGCCATAGATGACTGCTACATGCTTTAGTTAGAATTTGGCCTCCCAGCACCGACAGAGGCAAGTGGCAGGGAGTGAATAGAAGAGAAGATCTTGCTATATTTTTCTGCTTTTCTGTGACTAGGGCCCACCATGGTGAAAGCCACCCTCCCTTTGGTATAAAGGATCATTAACATACATGTTCTGCTGCAAACACAAATACATTACAACAGCTGAAGAGCAGACTTTATAAAGGAGCATGAAATTTTAAAAAAACTTTGGTGAAAAGACACTCTGAAGATTAATTTTGCCTGGGACTAAAAAAAAAGGTGGGGGGAGGCACAGGGGGAGGGGGTCAGTCCAGACAAAAGAAGCATTGTTTAACACAAGATAAAAATATGCCTTTACTTGAGGTTATAAGCTCCCAACACTGGATGGATTCTGCCCAATTAACTTGAAAAACAAACAAGCAAACACTGTCACAAGGCATATTTAGTGAGGAAAATCTCAACAAGAATTAAGCCTATTTTCTTATCTTTTCATCACACTAACATTAAATAGGCATTTTATGGTGCAAAAAGGAATACATATCTTTTTAAAATGTTAAAATATCTTTAACCAGTGTATAGCATAATGCCTCATAATCACATATGCGTGCTTAAAAAAATACTGCACATCCATGACATATTTCTGATTGGCTATATTTTTGGGTGCAAGTCAAAGGAAAAAAAGCAGAAGCTTTGAGCTATCAGGCTGGGATTTAATTAATCAGGTAAGGTCTAACTCAAATTAAGCACTATAAAATCTCACCGACTTTACTACATATCCATTTCACTTGATAGCATTGGTATGACTTTGAAGTGTTTAATTGTAGCTGAAATATTCCCTCCGATTCATTGACTTTCTAGCTTGTTCAATGGAATTTCAGATATACTTTAAAAATCTCGGCTGTACCTTTGATAAAAAAGATACAGTAGTGGATAAGAGATTACTTATGAGGAATCACTTCAGTCTTTTAACAAACTCCACCACAAATCTCTCCTGAAATAAAGGTGCCATTACAATATGATGGACTGTCACTGATGTTGGTGGGAAAGAGACTGTACTCAGGGGAATGCATTTCTGGTAAAACAACTCAGGGATTAAATTCAGTGGATCAGTCTAGGGCACAGGTTTTCCCTACTCTAGATCTGAAACCTGTTTCTCAAGGTTGGCCTGACTATCACACCCAGTAAAAAGAAGAGCAGTATTTACAAAGATGCATCCAGCTATCTATTAAAAAATACCCAAACTGAAATTTTCTTTTTAGGAAAATACTTTTGCAAGTCAACTATATAAAGATAAAATACACTTCAAATATAGTTTTTACATTATTCTATAAAGTGCAGAGAAAACCTTCACATAGGGAACTACTACTCCCGCACGATGAGAGCAGAATTACAGCAGCTTTTGCATAGCATTATTCAGAGGCAGTGGGAGTCACCTCTTGCCTCAGGAGATTGGCTCAGAAAGAGTCTCTTCGGGCACTCTGGGTTTCTGAGACAGCAACAGCTTTGCATCAGGAACAGCTGGCGGTGCCAAATCTTCATTAAGGGCTCCTCTAGAATTGAATGTTGCTAGTCCTGCAACATGAAAAGCACAGTTCAATCAATTTGTCCTTCTTTGCCTACTTTATACAAGGAGACACTATCCTATCTGAATCACAGGGCTGTGAGCTTAAGCAAAGATGTTCCAAATGAAGCCTCAACTCTACTCTTCCCTGGTGGGCACAGACATCTAGACATTTCATTAACCAACTAGGTAACATCTTCATTGTTCAAAGAGAGTGTGGTTTGCTGTCTGTTTATATACAATAGTTTGCCCTGGCAGTGTACCCTACTCCCTAAATGTTACCTAACTGGGTGATGTCTGCAGGCAAACAACCAAAGTCAGAGAGTACCAAGGACTCCATTGTTCCACCCTGAGCTGCAAGTATTTTCTTCTATTGCTATCTAGTTAGGCCAGCAATAGCTTTGGTATACCAACCTTCCCACTGCTTTATATTTTATACCATACCAAGAAGTCATCCCAAGATTTAAGTGCTACGTATAAATCACATTTCAGAATCAGATACCTTCTGAAGAAAGCTAGTGTTTGGAACCTGCTCAGGTATAAGATCCCATTAAAAGCTCAACTAGCACCCAGCCTCCTGTGTTGGGAATTCTATGTGCAATTCAGAACACTGACCACGGGAATGGACTGCCTTTGAAAGCCAGGGATGCACAACTGAGGAGAAGCAGTGGTTATAGTGGCAGGATCATGTCACATGAAAGAGTAAGACCAGGATTTTCTTCTTTTTTTTTTCCGGTCTGGGGTGGGGAGATGATTTATTTATTTTTTAAAACTCTCTCACCCCCAAATGGAAAATACAGTGCTATGGATTTTCAGTCACTGTAGTCAGACAGAGATGAGAACCTATAAAAAAGAGACTTGAGACCTCACACTGACCAATTCTTCATTCTGATCTTCTCCTTCACACAACAAGAAACACCACCGAGTTTAATTTTAACTTAAGATACATCTACATAATGGCACATAGGAAAAGTGCCACTAAGCATCAATAAAGAAGTTAGGAAAAATATCTCTCTGAATCGCCACTTCGGTATTTGTTGCACACTTTTTCACTGCTTACGGCATTGTTCCTGTTCTCTATCTTTAACAAACTCTTGAATCCATCTTAGTTGAATAAACATGGTGCAAGACAGTTGCTGTAATTTATTTTGATATTCACTGTTATTCTAGCAAAAACACAGGCTACGTTATACAAAAAATGAGTACAAAGTAATGACAACATCCGTAAGGTGATATGTCTTACTGTCTGTATCTTCAAAGGGAACATCTATGGAAGGTTCTGTATCTGAGACTGTTCTTCTCCACCGGTGGGAAAGCTGATGGGAAGACACATTTGGTTCTTTTCCAAAGCGACTGCTCCTAAAATTAAAATATTGCACAAGTTATGACATGTTTTTAACATAGTTCTCTTGGGTTCATTAATCTTGTTTGTAAATCCCTAACATGTGTTGCCAAAAAAATACACTACAAAAGATGAAAAGATGAAGAATCACTTTAGGTTAAACAAAAAATAATCTGCTAAGGAGTTAAACACCAAATTCCCAAATATCATTTTGAAGATTAGGTTGGCATGGCTATTTATGGTATGATGAAGTTAATGCTAATATAGATTTTAATAAACACTTCATTAAGCATGTTTCTAAAAGTTATAAAACAAGATTGACTGCCAAATTCCTCTATAGGTGTCACCTGAGAAGCATTTTTTAGAAAAGAAATGATAGTTACACAAACTTGGTTGACCTATGCTGATGTATTAAATTTTAGAAGGAGGACCTAAATTAAAATCAAGAAAACAACTGGAACCACAAAGTCGTACTCATCAATAGTTGCTCATGCTCAATTGACAGAAAGGTTTAAATGGATAAGAATTGTGATTTTTACAAATGAGAAAACTGAATTTAAATTGGATTTGTTTACCAGTAATGAACATGTTATTTTAAGATCTTAAAATGAATATAGATGAATAGGTTAAAGACTGCATGATTAGATGGGCAAAATAATCTTTGATGAGTAGGAGACCATGTTCTGCAAAGGACTGAAATTTACATTGAATTGTAATTTGAAAGATATCATTCCAAAATCAAACAAATTAGGACCATAATGTTAAGGTTCACTTATCACATTGCGAGATATTGTCCGATCCCAAATAAACGGGAATACTCCATAGTCTGCCAATTGAAATTCACAGCCTGTTGCCCCATATAATGTCACATTAATTTTGGAAACGTGTGTTTCTGGTGAGTTTCTCTTACATGATATAATTGAAAATTAATTCATGACTATTTGGAATTCACTATGACAGTTATGTTTTGTACAGGCAGTCCTTATTTAGTGACTGTTCAGAGTTATGACCTTGTGAGTCAGGGCACTCAAAAGTGATATAGTACATGATTGGCTGTGAAGGTAAAACTGACTACTTTGATGGGGAAAAAATGAGCTTGTCCAGCTTTGTTTCTACCTGAAAACCACTTTTGGATTTTTTTGCTTGAAACTTAAAAAAATGGAACCTTAATTTTGGTATTTATTAGAATTAATTATAGAAATGCTATGTATTATTGTTGATTAAGAGGTCAATGTATTTTATATTTGTATCTGTACCAAAGAAAGTTAGAAATTATTTTCATTTTTCCCCTTTTCTCTGAAAATTCTATTTTTGCTCTTTTTCTGAGTTTTTCTTCTAATTTCTATTTTTCTGTTTCTTTGTATTTTATCTTTTGTTGAAATTTAATAGTTTTTCTCAAAATAACAAAAATTAACAGCTAGTGTTTTCTATAGCATTCAATTCGAGG